CCGATCCAGAACCAGCGCCTGAGCTTCATCAGAAGTCAACTTATACAACGGACTCTATCGTGATCCTTTCCCCATGTCATACTTGGCCATTCAAGGGGTTTTCGGTCAGTCGATTGACAGTAGTAGCTGTTCATCCTTTCTTTCTGGAAGCATTCGCGAAAAGGTGCCAAAACCATCGCTGTGACTTCTCAATCCGGAGAAACAGCGGCCAGACACCGAAGCTCTCTCGGATATCTGTACTCCGGATCACGTTGAGGCGCGTAAGTAAATCGATTTTTCTTAGAAAACTCATTTCAAGTTACTATCACACGGGATCGAAGTTTTTCATTCATAGCCAATGACCTAGGATGAAGAACATCTTGAACACAGACAGCACAGTGTTCAGACCCAGCTCTGTCGAGGTCGCAACGGCTGGAACTAAGTAACACGGAAATTCACTGGTTGTTTCAGTTCGCCTTACGATTTGTTCCTCAAATATTCCATCACCAGTACACCTGATTCCGAGGTTTATGATCTTCTCCCTGCTTCTCGTTTAGCTACAGAGCGCAACGGACAAGAGAATGAAAAACTACTATACTATCTATTTTATACAAAGTAGATGGTATCAACATTATACCATCGAATCACGATGGATCGTAGCAACCGATCTTTGATCTCGTATGTTTGCAGGCTCATCCACAGCTTTTTCTGCGAGATTCGGTCATATGCTTTCACCAAATTCACAAAGCACTTGTAAGCCTGGTGACCGGACTGCCAAGATATCTCAACAATCTAGCATAAGATCTGGTGGAAAGTGTTTCGGCCTCATCTGAAGCCACTCCGCTCCTTTGATCGTCAACTATTCTGCGGCCCCTCCTTTCAGACAAAGTTGTGCAGACTTTTCCCTGGAGGTTCAATACGGTAATGTTTTGACAATCGGTGCAGTCGCAATTGTCGTCCGTATTGAACAGAAGTTGTGCAATCCACCCGTTTTCCCCATTTCACTGCTATCTTCCCCGTAAGCCCTATACCTCTTACCCACAATATGACTTGTTTGCCTGAAGCATTAAACATTTCAGAGCGGATTTCAACGATTCCAGTAGCCTTGCCACTTTTCAAGTATTTTACAATTTTCATGACCCTTTATCTACTCAGACAATCGATTTCCTGCTGCTTTTCCGGTGAGACTTGTAGTCAACTTGGGTTGAAGAGCTCCGTTCTCGCTGTCGCGTTAGTATATCCTCTCTTCCTTGGTAAAAAGTTGTCCGAACTTGTCCTTCAGGACTTTCAGGCTGCCCTTCTTTCCATCTTGGAGGAGGCGCATGGTGCGCCACAATACTACAGGCCGTCTGGACAGTCGAATGCTGCTCCGACCGAACTTTCGCCAGGATTTGGCGTTCGCTTTTGCTGCTGCGTTCGCTGTCGCATTGCGCTCTTCGTACAACGTTCCAGTTGAATGCACTTTGCTTCCAGGCTACCTCTTGAATGCACCCTTCTTGCAGCTGACATCCAGCTGAACCTCTGGTGTTCACTAGGAAGTTCGTTTCTAACCTCAAAGCGGCAGGCCAACCAGTTTAATTCCGCAGCATTAGGCGGCAATTCTGAGTAAGCCGCTTCTGAAGAGCTTCCATTCGTTTTCCACATCAGCGGTCATCGCTGGGATCTGTTCAAACTGCGGTGCGATGTTGTTTGCAAGTTTTACCTATAAAAGATGACGTTTTCGGCATGATTCTGGGGTTGCTTCGGCTGCCAGGTCTATATATATAATGTACTCCAATATTTGCAGCGAAAAGAG